TATATATATATATATATATATATATATATATATATATATATATATATATATATATATATATATGAGTTACTTTTATCAACCATTTGTCCACTACTTATTAGATTATATAAATTCAGTTTTGAAGATTAAAAAGGGTTATACAAAGTAAATGGGTATACCTTTTCACCACGTCTTCGTTCGCGCAAAATATTTCCAGTTGAAATCAGTTGCATAGCATATCGCAGCGAGGTCTTACCAGCCAGCAAAGTCAATATGCCAAATGCATCTGCCTCCATTTCTACAGATTCTTCTTGTGCACGGATCCGTAAAATATCTTCAATATCTTTGCTCGAATACGGTTTTGTTCGGACTATCAATGATCTAAAAGTACGATGAAAATTTCAATATTTGCGCCTCTTTGCTCCTACTGATGAACTGAAACTCAAAGGAAATTACTAAAGAATGTTATAAAATGAATTACAAACTACCTATCTAAAAGATCAATTGGAATTCCATGCGGACTTTTGATCTGTGTTCCACGAATATATTCGTGTCCCTTATTGGTCGCTATTACAAGAATAGGAGATAGATCTGATTCGATAGCCCTATTCAAAAATGAAAAGCATTCCAGATCTAGCATATGTGCCTCGTCAATAAACAATACACCGGGGACAACATCTGCTTTATTTTCCTCTCGCCATTCAACTACCTGCAATATAAACTGATTTTGAGAGTTCATAAGTCATCAGTAAATTACAGGTACAATTAAGTGACTTACTTAATCGTTATTACACTGTCATTGACAACACACAGGAAACAAATCCCGAAAAACCAAGTGGGAAAAAATTCCGAAAACATTTATATTCTAGAAATCTCAACATGCAGTGTTGAAAATTTGAAGGGAATAGATTACGGTACAACTGAAGATTTAGCTATCTTAGAATTCCTTTTTTTACCTTCTTGTTAATTTGTTCTCTCACTTCATTCTTTATTTCTCCAGTGTCCCCTGAAAACAGGGCCAAGAAACCCTGCGTTCGTGAATTTATCACATCAATTTCATGTAAAGCAATCTGAAAATTTACAAATTAATTCTTTTTCCACTTCTCAAAATAATTTTATATTTACATATGAAAAGTGTTCCGCAAACTTGAACCAGAAATTTCACTGAACATCCGAAAATTGATAAAGTGGAGGAACTCTACGGCATTCTGGACGTCACCATTCGAAATAGATCAAAATTCCAAAATGAACTGCAGCCGCAGTGAGATTTCGGGGATGAATAAAATAAAGATGTAATCTGCACAAACTTTAGCAATAATGCATAATGAAAGGTAATAATCGCGAGCTTACTGTATGAATAGTTTCTTTACGTTTTTGGATTTCACCTTCAGGGCATCGTACAGATTTCGTCTGCGGACCCACTGCATCATAGTCGTAAGTGCGTGAAAATGATCTGCCAATCTTTGTTATACGACCTGCAACAAGTTTTACATTGGTCCGCATCTCATCAAATCTGTGAAACGAAAATTTTATTGGGTGCAGTAAGTGCTGTAATACAGTTAGTGCTAAAGGAAATCATATTGCTTATCGGTGTCCCGAAATGGGTAGTAATTTTTCAACCTCTCTTTCTAGGATTGATCTTTCCCGCTGAAGATTTGTCACGTCAGTAGGTACACCCATCAATTGTTCAGATGTAACTCAGGCATCTCCCCTAGCATGGTCAGTAATGTTCAGTATAAGTATCATAAGTGGAATACGGGAAAACCTGAAGCTTTATCAATCTGTACCACATCGCCTGTCGCAACTCTTTGTTTTGTACATGCTTCAATCATTTTATTGCCAAGATCGTAAACTGTTTCCATTTACCTGATCTTGTATACTTGCGAAAATAGTCTCTTCTCATCTTATTCCTTCTTTGCTTCAAATATAATAATTTAAAGTTGAATATGCAAAGATATGGTGAGATGAGGAATCCATAGTAAATAACTAAACAAATCATTTTGTTGCTTACTAATGGAAGTTTATGGTAATTGTAGTAATTAAGTATCAATATCATGGAATTCGTTTATCATACTCATGTTCTTACAACTACTG